TATATTAAAATATAAATAAAAATTAACTCATAATAAATATAAACACAAAAATTTCACATATATATATTACAATTTTAAGTACCTCGAGTGTTTAAATTTTCAAAATAGAAAAAATGAAAAGTGTTGTATCATATAAAGTATGAATATATACAGTAGCCATGTTAATGATATATAGAAATGTAAATATCAAAATCAACACCTTTCTTTTCAAAAAAATCAAAGCTGCTTTTTATTCAAATCCGCTATATGCTTATTATACTTTAATCGTGGAGACATACAGATTCTCCAGATGGGTAACAGAGCGGACCGCAGTTCATCGGGAATTGGAGCATAAAAATAGAGAATCTAGCAACCTAAAGACGCGAATGCAAGCGGCACCCGCTTTCGCGAACCGCCTTCGTGCGCTGCCATAAAAGAACGCGTGAGTCGCGAGCGGGGAGAGGAGGGTCACAGAATTTTCCCAGAAGACTTGGGAAGATCGCGCAAGGCCGATGAAGAAGCCGGCGATGTGGCCGCGCCGAGAGTCGATTATAGCCGGCATTCGCGCGAGCCTCGAGCGGAGTCACGCATCATCGCCACCGCTACCGCCACAAAAGAAAAAAAAAATGAACGGACCGCCAGCGTATCTCGCGAGATATTCTCGTCGATAGCGTTGACGAAGATGCTGTCGTGAGTCACAGGGGAACATCAAACGGCAAACGAAGCGACAAAAAATGTCGAGAAAAAAAATCGGCGCGTCTCGTGAAGAAATAATATGCGCGAACCAAGTATTCGCCCGACGAAAAATCATGGCACCGCGAACACACGGCTCGGCACGGCGGTTTTTCCGCGATGACGATTATACCACGAACGCGGCCGAAACACAATCAAACACACTTACCCCTTTTCGTCGTCGTCCATTTCGGTCTTCACTCTCATAATATTTCACTTAAAACTACGAGAATGTTGTTAATTTTAGGGCGCGAGTGGGAATATGGCACGATGCTGCAGCGCGAACGAGGGTAATGGCTCCACACAACGCGACAAGAACAGAATGTAAACGTAACGAAGCCGCGCGTCACTTCCGCCGTCAAGTACACCGCTTGTCAAATGAGCAACTGACGCACAGTGCCGTAGGTATACGTTGCAGTGCAATGAGATTTCTTTGAAAAAAATTTCAAATGCGTGTAAATTTAATAAATTTAATTTTTGATGCTAAAAACAAATGCATTTTACTGTAAATTGTTTACAATAAAAAAAATCGATCAGCATATCAATGAATAATTGTACAAATCAAAGAAAACGAAACAATTAAATTATTTTAAATTGCCTGCAAAAGAATGTTATAACTATCATTATGTATATCTCGATATCTCTGCTTATTTGTTTTCATTGTACTTTCTATTACTTCCCTCTTTCTGTCTGCAAAAAATAAATATTTCTTTTATTTTAGGTACAAGAAAGTGCAGATAGAACAAACTTAATTACTCTATTTGGATCACATAGGATTACATGGGCTGCGTTCCGAAATTCACTGCTCGTACTGAAAATCTACAATATACGCAGGGGGGGATTTACCAATAGGCCAACATAGGCCATGGCCTAGAGACCGCAGGCCCCAAGGGGGCCGCACGACTAAGAAAATTTTTTGTGAAACTTATTTTTAACCCGTTACGTACGGGAATTTTTTTCAAAAAGACTTAGTTTACATGGACTCCGTATAACAGTTTGAGAGTGATGGCAGCACAACTGAGGGAGACAAGAGTGAAACAAAAGAGCCCCTTTATTCTCGCTCTCTTTCAGTTCCGCACAACTGAGGGAGACAAGAGTAAAACAAAAGAGTTCCTCTATTCTCGCTCTCTCTCTCTCTCTCAGTTCTGTTGTCTTTACTAGTTTACATGGGAAATAATAGTGCTTGCGGGGTCCATGTATACTAAGTCCATGGTATCACGTATCACCGCAGAACCGCAGAAGGTTATTGGTTGACGCATGTATTCATCTTTTTAATTCTTTTTAATCAGTTTAGAATATAATTAAGGTACAATTAAGGTTTTATTAGTTAGATTAGGTAATTTTACGAAAAACGTATACTTTACCCAAATTTTGAGGAAGGGGGGGGCCGCAAGCAAGACTGGCCTAGGGCCGCAGGAACCCTAAATCCCCCTCTGAATATACGTAACGTAAACTATAGATTTTCTAGTACTAGCGGTGAATTTCGGAAGACAGCCATGATCCCCCTTTTTACGATCCTGCAAAGAAAACCGCTAATTTGTAGCGTATGTATATTTCACGTGATAATTACATTGCATATTTATTATATTTGCGAATTATAATTTACGCCTTCGAAATTATAATCTCTAAGTATCAAAACTATAAATGTTAAAATGTTGCTTGACCATGCAGTTATTCTGAGTTCAACGATCTGTCGTCACGCACTCAGATATGCCGAGTATGCTGCGTCACAGTTCCTGCGAAAGGATTTTTCAATTACCGTCCACTTTTTTCCAGTTGAACACAACTCGATGAGTATTTAAGAACTTGTACAAAATTGATCAAATATTAGCCACCGAAAATATAGTTCACGCAACGTTACAGCGAGACGGCAGAACATGTGACAATGATGTCTCTCTAATCAAACGAGCCGGGAGAAGCTCCGGTATCGAAGCGAAAATGGAGGGAAATTTAACCGCGTCTCAGACAATCTTTGGAATATCCTTTGATTCGTATTCGCTAATATAGCCATTTGATTTTAAATATGATAAAACGTTCATTTTAGATATATTTGTTTTTGATGATAAGTATAGGATGTCAATGGGCTTTTATGAACAAAGTTAGAAAAGAACAAATCCTAATAATGAGAAATGAATCCTAAATAAATTTTAATTAATGTTTAAAAATAACTCCATAAAATCCAGCTAATTATAAAATAAATCTGTACATCCCAAATTATACAATAAAAATATTCCAATATTTCTTTTTACAAAATATATTTATTAATAAATTATTTTAACAATTGCAATATATCTGATCACAAAGATATTTACTGAATAATTCTTTTTCTTTAAATTGACATATTTTTGCTTGTATAATCTTTTAGTAATTGTATATCCCGGCATTTGCTTCGTTCGACATGACGATAATGCGCATGAGATGAATTCGTAAAAATTCGCAACAACTGTTTTGCCACCCGAGACTGTTTGAGGTTAGACTGCGTCTCCGTTGGAAATTGTAGTGTCATTCAGTGTTACAAGCAGCAGAATTTTTAAACTTTAACTTAAAAAATACGATAATGGCTCTTTTGACAGATAACGGAAAAGGGTGTTTACCTGATTACGAGGTACAGGGAGCAAAAAAAGTGAGCTTTAGTCCATATTCTGACAATGGAGGGTAAGTTAAATAAAAATAACCTATATCTCCAAAAATGGTTAATGTCATCGATTGAATGATTGTTTTTCTGTAGTTAATTAATATTTTTTACCATTATATTATTGTGTTTTTTTTTACATAAAGAGCATTATATTTGCAAAAGATTCTTATACTATTTTATTTTCAGGAGTGTAGTGGCTCTCGCAGGAGATGACTTCTGTGTTATAGGTGCAGACACGCGTCTCAGTACGGGATTCTCTATTTACACTCGAGAACAGGATAAGTTATTTTCTTTGTCGAATACTACCATTTTAGGCTGCTCTGGCTGCTGGTGCGATACTTTGACGTTAACTCGTCTCTTGTCTGCTCGCATGCAGGTATAGTCAATTAAGACTATAGAGAAGTATCTTACATTAATTATAAGTTATTAGACACATGTGTATATTTGTCATCCTGTTTTTAGATGTACCAACATGAACATCAAAAGGAGATGACAACTCCAGCAGCAGCACAGATGCTTTCAATAATGCTATATCATAAAAGATTCTTTCCTTATTATGTCAGCAATATACTTGCTGGATTAGATGAGAATGGGAAAGGCTGTATATACAGTTATGATCCGATTGGACATTGTGAAAAAACTACATATAGAGCAGGTGGTTCAGCAGGTGCGCTTTTGCAACCACTTCTCGATAATCAGGTATGTTTCGATCCAATTTCAAAATAGTGTAAATTATCTTTACATGATATTGTAACGATTGGACAAAATGATTGAAAAATATCACATACTTAATATTGCATTATGCAATATTTTAATCTTTCAGATTGGATACAAAAATCAAGAAGGCATTGTTCCTACACCCTTGACTCAAGAAAAAGCTGTGGCAATCTTGAAAGATGTATTTACTTCTGCAGCTGAGAGAGATATATATACAGGTGATGGAATAACTATTAAAATTATCACGAAAGATGGAATAAAAGACTCCAGTTTCGCATTAAGAAAGGATTAATATGGAAATAAGGAAGAGCATTTATACACTCTCTGGTATTTGCGCAAATAAAGTTATTTGAATACTTGAATATTTCGTTATTAAAATTTTTCTCTCAAATACTTTTTGAAGAGAATAGTACACAATGGGATAAGAAAATTTGAGATGTATAAATGAAAGTATAAGATACAAATATAATGATACAAATATTACTTAAATAGGCGTTTTTTTTTATATTTATACATATTTTCTACTTTATATGAATATCATATCTGTTTTTCTTTTATTTTATAAACTCTTAATAAATCTCGCATTACAACTTCTCTGTACTATGGTGCTCAATGAACAAATGTCTGGTACTTTTTACATAAATTAAGAATTTTATTTTGTCACACTCAAGCATATTTCGCTCTTATTTCATAATTAGCATTAGTAATGTACACTTGAAAATCTATAACAAATGATTATGCCAAGGTAACTCAATAAGCCTTGTTCAAATTACGCTATGTTACTGCATGCGTATGTATTGTATATTACTCTGTGTGTTCTGTATTCATAATATCCTAAAATATCTTTCTTTTATTCCATACGTAAAGGCAAGTTACTTATAACCCATTTCTATCGTTCACAATATCAAAATAACCAAAGGAAAAAAGGGTAGGGGTTTGTTTGTTGCATTCCATTCTACCGTCTTTCTCATAGTTCTTCCATGGGAACAGTATATAAGGATCGAAAGTAGAGATTGTTTCCCCCCGAGATTCACTTCTTCGTCCCGGGGGTCGCTAACGGTTTGCCACGATCTTTACCCCGCAATTTGATTCCAAGTACTCGCTCGATTTTGCCAATGACCATTTGATTTGGGATTCCACGTCCCGCTTCGTAATCATTAATAACTTGCGCTTTCTCGTTTACTTTCTGCGAAAAGTACATAAAAATTAACAAAAATGTTTAATATATATAGAAATATTCATATATATTTATTTCTTTAACATTTTGCCAATTATTTGAGTTACGGCACACACTTTACATCACTTTTGAGGATATTTTATAAATGTTTTATTTATATCTAATGAAATGACTTGTAAATAACCACAGTTCTTTCTAAATGCAAAAAGTTTAAGACTTAAAGTTACACTGGCGTTATTAACGTTTGTTGTGTTTGCTAAGTTGTTGTATATACTAAATACTTGTTGCAATGTGGCGCAAAAAGATAAATCTATCCATTCTATTGGCATAATGCATTAATAATAAATAATTCATATACTTATAGAAACAAAAATACTTTACCGTAGCTAAGTCTTTTTGAGATAACCCTTTGCTCTGGCGTCCTTGTTGGATAAGTTTGCCAAGTTCCAGTGGAATTTGATCATGCTTCAATTCTTCCGTTTCACGATCTAATTTGGCTGTATTTTTTGTGGTTACATGCTGTCTATTCGCACCACCGCCCCCTAATATAAAATTGTTTCAAAATTATTTTATATTAAACAGAATTTGAAAGAAATTATAAGATAACATAATATTATTTTACAATATCAGAATATAGACATATCTTATACAATATGGAAACATCTAAAATTTTGTTAAATGTAAAATTTTTCATTTTTTTCTGTCATCAACATGGTATTTTAATTGGACATTAGTTCTTATTTTCTGAATAAAAGTTCTATGCTTCTATATATTAATTATATATATAAATATGCTAAAGTACTTTTCAATCATCTTGAAATTGTTATCTATGACATAATATGATGACACAATGATTTTGATAACGTACAGGTTTTAATTAGATGGCAACTAATATGACAAAATTTAAATATTGAAGTATCTTTACTTCAAAATTACTATAATTATTACCTTGAAAATAAAATTCCATTGATTTTCACAAAAATATATATAATTTAAAGGCACTGTTCATCGATAAAAACATGTGCAAAATTCATCACTGAAAACGAGGTACTGTTTTGTTTACATGTATCCTTAGGAACAATTCTGAAATTGCCGGAAAAATGTAAAAATCCAAAGAGCAACTCGTACTCACATTTTGCTTGTGTTTCTACGGTAAAACCTTGTCGCCGTGCGTCGTTCACCGCCTGTAAATAAAGATATAGTTACACAATCATGCGGCGCATATACGGACATTGCGATACGGCGAACGAGTATGATAACCGCGTACAGTATTCGCGAAACGGATCACCTTCTCGGTTTTCAGAGTGGACGATTTCGGTGCGCGTTTTCGCAATGTAATAGGCGCGGTATCCCAGTCTGACATATCGTAAAAATTTGTAACGATTGGGTTCGGTTGTCACGGTTATCAACGTTGCAACGTTTCCCAGCGGCCACGATAGCTGCTTGGTTTTCTGCTGCGTGTAGCTTTCCAGAGTAAGTTCTCCTCCTCGCGGACGTTACGAAAATCATGCGACGCGCGGCTGCTCGATCGACCGGCGCGAAGCTGCAATCGCGCGAACATCGGAAACGAGAATCGTGCAAATTTCGCTAAATTTTTGCTTGTACCGTTACCTTTCACGCGATTACAGTGAGACGATCCATAAAATATTCGAACGGCGTCAATCGTGAAATTTAAAATCACAACTCATATTTGGCGTAATGGAGAACGAAACTTGGACTGCTTGATAGAAAGTCTGAACGGAGTGTCTAACTGTTGAAATTTCATTTAATACAATTTTTTATTCTACACACGCAGAAAAGGTATAAATTACTCGTCATATTGTATTTTTATTCTAACAAAAAAAGTAGAAATAATAATTTTTACGTGAAAAAGAACCGTAGGAACCGGTGATCCGAACTAATCAAAATCAACTTCGACGATTAATCGATTTTAATATTGTATTCATGTCGAGTAAATTGTCAAGTTCATTCATTAATGTTCAAAATAATGTAATGAAACGCAACGATTCTTTATTGTTTTTGTATATAATTTAAAATTTTTTTTAATATTATATAATAACTGTTTTGTCAACATGTGGTCGGATATTGGGACATGTCCAACTACTGTGACATTTGGCTTATTCAATTTCGACTCGTTTATTGTACGTGAATGAGCAAGATCGGCAACATGTCTTTCTTATGACAGACAGAGATAATATAATGTTTCGTTCGAAAACAGAGAAAACTGATATGTGATCTAATATACGACCTTGTCAGTATCGATCAGACATATTTAAACTACATGACTTGACATTTCAAATTTCCAGTTACATTACGCAATAATACAGAATCTTACTTATAAAATTGATAGAGATAAAGATAGATTCAATGGAAATGTAATTGCAGCGTGATTCTGCGCTAACGCATGACGAAAGCTCTCTCTCGGTGAGAATTATTTGTTGTCCATCTAGCTGACACGCTTGTTCGACGGACGTGGCGGACAGAAATGTTTTAGCTTGATTCTTCATGTCATGTTTGTGGCTTAAGAACTTGATCCGCATCGCGATTCCGCAGTAAGACTTACACAACGTTCGATTTGATCGTGAAGTACATACTGCGTGAAAACGAGATGTCAATCAAAACGCTATGGAAGTGCACATTCAGTCCGCGGCTTTATAAGATTTACGAGGTAACGTGGATCGGTCATTTGGTTGACGTAAGTACTTATTCAGCATTTCCAGAGAGAATTTACATAAAGTTGAGGTTATATCTATGTACATTGCAGAAACCGTACGAGCCGAAAAACTTGGAACGATGGGGCGATCAAATTGTGATTTCTGTACGTGTTCTACACAATAATTCAGAATTATATTATTAAAAGTTCAATTTTTTACTATTGTACTTTGTGCAAGTACAATCTCGATTATCTATGAACGCAATCTTATACATTTTTCTTTTCATTTTAATTGCATTTTTTGCACGTATGAATATATAAATTAATAAAAATGATTTTCATGTTACAGTTTGCAGCAATATGGTCCATAAGTCTTTATGCCGTACCACTTATTGCTACATTTATGTATCAGCGAAGTTATTCCTTGACAGACAATGTTTCTTGCTTGAGTAAGCTGGCAGCCGGTGCTGGTGCACTTCTCGTCGCTTCATTGGCTGCCCGTGGTTACTCCAGAGTCAATAATCCAGTATATACAAAATTTGTACAAACTTTAAATGAAGCGCATTTACAATATAACAATAAAACAAAACAGGAGCTTCATAAGTATGATTTTGAATTCTGGGCCTGGCCTGTGGAGTTTGATTTGTCACAATTAAAAAGGTTGAACATATATTGCATTTATTATTAACTTTGCAAGATGTTGTGAAATCTCCAGTCTTAATTTTAATGTCAGGTTCTTTAAAGAATTTAAAATTGGAACTGAGAGCCAATATTCAGTAGTTTTTAATTAGAATAAAAATTAATGACATGGAAAAATAAAGCTCAAATACACATCAAAATTTTACGTTTAGAAACTTAGAAAAATATATTTTAGAATTTCTAAATGAAAATTTGAAGATAGTTTATATATCAATTAATATCATATTTTTTTAAATTATATATTTCTTTCAGTGATGAAGCTCCGGACAAATTGACCTTAGGAAAAATTGCAAAGGCTAGTGGACGCTTGAGGCGCCAAAGTGGCAAAGAATATCTATTTGCTATACCATGTAAATTACTTTCTTATATGGTTGCACACACTTTTGCAATTAAACTAATTTATCCTGGAAGTGTAACTGTTCTCAATTGGATGCTCGGTAAAAACATTATTATTACTACTGTACTTATTCGTCATTTTTATACTATTTAAAATGTATGTATCGCAATTTTAAAGGTGCTGCATTGGAAAAGGGAAGGATAGATTTGATAAAACAAGGTGGAGAAAGATACAAATTGATTACAGCTGATAAAAATCAAATTGACGCAATGTTCGTCGATCGGCGCAACAAGTAATGTAAACGATAATAACTTTATCAACAGTTTTTGTATTCTACAAACCGTTTTCCAACATGCACCATTTTTACAGAAGTGTTAACGGTGATGTACTGGTTGTAACTTGCGAAGGAAATTGTGGTTTCTACGAAACGGGCGTTATAGCTACTCCTTTAAACAAGGGCTATTCGGTGTTGGGGTGGAATCATCCGGGTTTCGGTGGCAGTACTGTAAGTAACATGCTTGTAGTGAATTGAGTTTGTCATATTATTTTACAGTAACAAACCGATGAGAAGAATTGCTATTACTCTATGTTGAAACATTTTATTGCAACGATGAAATTTTGCCAATGTTGCAGTTATTGTCACTTCACATGTAGATAGTAAATGCAAAGTTGGAGTAATGGCAAACCTCTTCTCCTTCGGATTGATTTGTATCTCGTATAACAGTAACAGTAAGTCATGACCACAAAGGGTGCGCCATATCCAGACCAGGAAGAAAACGCCGTCGACTGCATAATGCGCTTTGCGATCGAGCGTCTGAATTTTCCCGAGGAGCGAATTATCCTGTACGGCTGGAGCATTGGTGGATACACCGCTACCTGGGCTGCTATGAATTATCCTTCTGTTCAGAGCTTGGTAGTGTTTTTTATTCAATCTGTTACATCGAAAAAATATCATAAATTAATAAATTAATATTTTCGTAGGTATTAGATGCAACGTTTGATGATGTACTTCCATTAGCTATTAAAGCAATGTCGCCGTCCCTGGAAGGTTTAGTCCGCAACATAATCAGAGATTACTTCAATTTAAATATAGCAGAACAATTGAATAGGTACGTCTCACAACGGGATCACAATACAATCTAATTATTGACAGAGTATCATATGTGTATATCAAATCTTTTAAATTTTATAGGTATAACGGAACTGTGTTGTTAGTGAGAAGAACAGATGACGAGATAGTTTGTATACCTAGTAACAGCTTAGCCGGAAATCGCGGCAATATGTTGCTGACAAAATTGCTTCTCAGACGTTATCCGCATTTATTTTCCGAAACTTCCGAGTCTGGAACAGTTCTATCGAGGTTTTTATCCGTTGAAGCTTCCGACAGAAGTAAATAGAACAATAATAATAATGCTACCTAAAAAGATCTTAAATGAAAGTATATCGTTATCAAATTAATTTTTATATTTATTGCAGCGTCGATATTGGAATCATTCAGAGTGAGAGAAAAGCATTGTTTAGAATTAATAGCGGCTGATATACAAAAAAATGATGGGATAATAAGTTATCCGTCTACTTTGGGGGAAGATTGTAGTACTGAGACAAAATTGCAGTTGATTCTCTTCCTTGTATGTATTACATATACAAAAATATATAGATTTCCTTCTTTGAATCTGTTATTTCGTTTTTTAGGCAACAATGTATATGAAAGATCAATCGTCGTCGCATTGCATCCCATTAACTGTTGATCTCTTTCATCCTGGTTGGGATCCAACATCCGCAACCGCTATGAAGTAGATTCTGCAATATTGCATCTTAAAACTCAGATCAAGCTTTTCAACTTCTTATTCATATGATACAGTATGAATGACCAAAAACGGTAATAACACTCCGTACATTTCATATTAAGTTTTACTAGCACACACACACATATACACACACACAGGCATTATTTATTCCACATTAATCGATATAATCAATCTTATAAATTTGTGAAAAATGTTATGTACTAGATATCATTTTTCATTTATAATTAATGTCTTAATTAAACTGTGGTTTATTCAAATGGATTATGCGAGTTGCACATTACCAAGTATTGCTTTGTATAAAATTTATTTTTATTGAAATATAAATATTAAAATTAAAAAATATATTGACCCTTAATGTTTTTTCACTATTTTAGAAATAACAGCTTTCATTATTAGTTACACATAGTATTAGTTTAATGTTATAATTTATAGAAGTAACTTATAGAAGTAACTTGCGTTAGAATTTTGAAGTGGATATTGTATTTTTTATTTTGATTATAATTATCTAATTTAATTAAATAAAAGGAGAAATATGTCAAACAAAGCAGAAAAATTTTTTATAGTGATATATAAAATAACACAAAAGAAATAAAATTATATCTGTACTGAAAAGTTTAATGTTAAAAATACAAAATATTGTTCAAATCGTAAAAATTCATTTTAAAGATCACATTTATATGTAAAGTTGCAAAATTCATATAGTGACATGCCTTAATTCTAATTTTACATTCTATTATTTTTCATACAATGTATAAAAATAAATAATTCTATATCATGCTAATATAGCTAATAATTTTAAGTAAATTCATGTAGTTTGAATATTGTACAGCGCAGTTTTAAGAGCATCTTTGGAATCTTGAAGTGGATCTATGACGTTTACGCGACTGATCTTCACCGGTCTTTCTAAAAATATTTTTAACGTATTCCTTGTTTGCGCTAAGAAATAGTCCTTCTGACTAATATTTTCTAAAGCTTTGAAACATCCCTCCAAATTCCAATCAATTTTTCCACCCTTTTTGTCTTCACCCTAAAAAATGGATAATTGTTATTTATTCTATATTTCTCTCTCACATACAACATTTTATCAATAGTAATTCCTGATTTATCTTACTTTTATTAAGCCAAGATTGACTAGTAGTGCATTATTCAAGATTGCGATTTTATTGGTTTCTGTGGCATAAGAGAACAGCTTTGCATATAAAGCATCTGATAAGGATTCTGCTTTTATTCTCACATCCATATAACCACTGCCACATAATGCTGATACTTTCATGATTATCCGCAAAAGTTCCTCTATATATTTCTGTTCTGTGCTTTGATTTGCCGAATTCTGGAATAAGTAAATTTTTACTAGAAGTGGTAATTTTGTAAGAAATAAAATTTACTGGATATATTAAAACACATTAATACTTACCATTGCATAGTCAACAAAAGCTTGCACATTATCACCTTGCAATAACAATAGCTTATCACCTATCGGTGATTTCAAAAATTCCGCCGCTGTTATCACTGTGTTTTGTGCAATGTTATCTTGTGTTTTGTTGTCTTTATCACTTGCTTCACCTTCAGTATCGCTTTCACATTCTTCACTCGTTCTTCCTCCATCATCATCATTATCTTCATCTTCCTCCTCCTCTTCATCCTCAGTACAATCCTCATCTAAGGAACTCAATGCATCAGCCCTTCCCAACTTTGTGAGAATTTGTTCAAGTTGCTTACGGCCTTCTGTACCAAAGCAATTGCCATCTAACTGTAGATTCGTCAAGAGAGTTTTATCATGCGTGGCTTTAGCAATGGCATTTCCACCATCCATGCGTATTTCATTGCTACTTAAATCCAGACATCTGAGAGATGTATGATTGCCATGAGTCTCTAGCGCCTCCGCTAGAACTATAGCTCCTTTACTCTTCAATAAACAATCTCCAAGATTCAATTCCTCCAAACCTCGGAAAGTTGGCAAAACCTTAGCAAGCGCTTTGGCGCCCTTGAAGCCGATTGTATTATCGTTCAAATTTAACACTCGTAAATTGGGATTAAAGAATAATCCTTGTGCAATTGCAGTGATGCCTACGTGGTAAATGCCGTTCTGTTGCATTACAACTTCCTCTAAAGTTCCCAGCTTTTCAAATACAGATGCTAATGCTTGTGCCCCCTCATTTTCTAATCGATTTCTTCCAACAATGAACACTTTCAATGCAAGTGGTATACCTGTGATAGAAATTTTATTAAACATTTACATTATAGTTAGAAATATTTATTACATTTCTATAATATATCACCTTCTTTGGAACTGTTCTCATGGCACTTTTCTAATGCTTTAGCTAACATTATTCCACCTGATATACCAAGACCATTATTGTTCAATCTCAATACTTGAAGAGTATAACATGGGCTTGATGTCAAGAGGTTTGCCAAACCCTGAATTCCAATTGGGCCAAAAGCATTATCGCTTAAGTCAAGTTCGGTAAGCTGACTGTTCGCTGTACACAATGCTGTTCCTAAATATTCCAAAGATTTTGGGATTTCTGTTTTTAAACGACCAGTAAACATATCTTTCCATAGAGCTTTTTTCAAAGGCGTTCCCTTTTCTTTTAAGGCTTCAGCTATAGCCTTTGCAGCTGGGGTGCCCAATGTATTCCCTTCTAAATCCAAATACTCCAAACATGCGCATGATTTTATTGCTTCTATCACTTGGGTAGCTATATAATGAACATGATAAATCCAATGGTATAAAAATATTCTTAATAATAAATATTTACTTATACAAGCATCACATATATATATAACTAGAATGAAGAACTTTGCAAACAAATAAAACTTTGAACAATAGCTTTAGCTTCAAACAAAGCTAAGGAAAATGAGCTCGTACAATTGTTTACACAATTGGCACAATTGATACAATTGGTAATTGTGCAACTTTATATACATGAAGAATACAATAAAAAACTACATCATCTAAAAATTCTGACGTCTTACCTTCATTTGCAGTGTCTAATACGAGTCCGTGACCGGCAAAAGAGACTCCAATCCACTTTCGGCTGACATCTTTCAGCTGCTCGCCAATTTCGCTCAAGCTGAATGTTGCCATGTTGCCCGCTTGCAAAAACTGATAAAATTTTGTAAAATGATTCTTGTCGACAATTTCTTGATGTGCTATCGGACTGCGATAACCAACAGATCCGTTTTTTTTCTTTTTTTTTTGTTGATATCACTTTCTGCAGTGCATACTTTCTCTCTATACGATATGAGAGTGTACACTATGCACGCGCGGGAAACCTCTACCAACTTACACTGCACTATCGAAAAAAAACACTATCGTTATAACGTAGCTGTAATAGTAAAATTTTGCGAATAATAGGTCTGTTCTTTATAGCTGAACTGGCTGCACTAGTTCATAGTTTATCTTTCTCCTTCTAATATGGAGGGAAAAAGATAAACTCTGAACTAGTGTAGTCAGTTCAGCTATAAAGAACAGATTTGTTCCTTCTAAAATGAAGGGAATTGATGAAGTCTAAAGTTGTTTGTTTTACTTAAAAAATAATTTTATATTATATAACAAAATTATTCTTTCCGGATAGATCATAATATTATTTACTGTCTTTCACCAACGTATACTTTCTTAGATTCCTATAACGCAATAACAATTTTCCAGAAAAATAAAACATAATAAATAATTCAAAAATTATATATGTTAAATATTTTATCAAATAATAATTATTATTATATTAATTGAATAAAATTCATATTTTGTGATCTATTTTTAAAATCTAGTTTCTGTTATAAGCGCAATAATTATAACTTTTTGATAATGATAAACAAAAATTTGTTATATATTGTTTATACATAAAGCAGATTTTTCTCTTCAGAAACTCTTTCTTTTAGGAAATCCAAAAATGTCCATCAGTGATAAAATTAATATCAAAAGTACAAAAAAAGTTAGATTGTAAAATACTAAAATGGTTGCAACAAATTTTTTCTTACAGAGAATCGTTAATCATGATATTGATTTAATGAAATTTAAATTAAATAAGAAAACATAAAAGATGTATAATAAAAGTTAATATTAATTGTAAGATATAAATTTCCAATTTATTGGAATAAAATGTTATAACGTAATAAAACATTATTTGCAATTAGTTTCGCGTTTGCACAAGAACCTTTTAATTGTCTCGCATGTTTATTTACAAAATTGAAAGTATTTTATTATATCCAATATATAATAAAACAGTTGCTAATTGTAATAATTACACCAATTACAGAGTTGATTGAACATTCGCACAAGATTATTTGAATTTCTTTTCTTTAAAGCAAAATTCGTATATTCATTGTTAATAAGTGTAGAACATCAATGATGAACAATAAACATGTAGCATATCCAAATTCACTTTTTGTTTCAGACGCTAATAAAGATGCTTTATTAAACACTGTTTTTCATAAATTGGCCACTGCTTATGATTTTATTATGCTAATATATTATAAATATTTTTATCAGTAATTTGATTTTTTCAAACCTAAGGGAGTATGTTCATAGAAATATCTGTCTATCTCTAGTTTTTTTTTGCTTTATCACTTCGAATTTATTTCAAAGTGATATCGTGAAGCAGTTTATAATAAGCATACATCATTCTCACTGTATTCACTCTTTCTTTCTAATGTGCTTGCATTCTATTAAAAAAATCTTCATGGACATTGCAACATATTTTAAGTTCAAAAAAGTAGAATACAAAACAGAAAACATAAAATCATACGACACATATTACAATTTTGTTATTATTACAATAAAAGGCAAGTTAACAAAAGAACATTTTGTTTCAAAGAGTATTAGGCAAGATGCTTATTTTTGACAATTCATAGTGGCCATTTTACATGTCTTCTTCATGATATACGGTCAACATTTAATACAAAAATTAATCTATTATATCTAGCAGTATTCCGAATGCGTCCGAATGTAAACGTCGATTAGCGAATTTTTTTTGTTAAAATTACTTAGAGACTAAATCTTCTCTTAAATGTACATAAATAATCCTTTTATCGATTAACTTACATACTTTTGCTGCGTTTCCAACTAATTGTCCATTTTTATTTCCCCCTTTTCAAATTTAAGCATTGAAAATATTAAATATTCAATTTTTACATCGTACAAGCTAATATTTAACTTATACAGAAACCTAAATGTTTTAATATATTTCTTCCGTATCTTAAGTAAAGGACAGAAAGTGATTATTCTCTCTCACAATGTGTTGTACAATGTTTTGTATGTGATGTAGCTGTGATACGTGAAAAACTTGTATAGCAAAGTTTGCCATGATAGAAGCAGATTGACTGAGCATTCCCGAAAATTTCTCATGATTTTCAAACACATATCTAAAGTATATAATGGTTAGAAGCCTTCCTGATACTGCTTCGAGTCTAGTTTCGCCTGAATCATTTCCAATTGTCTTTTCGCTTCACACTGTGGGAAATTTTGTAGGTCATAATACTGTGGTGCTATCATGAGTAGCCAATCAGCTGTAAAAAGATAAAATCTTTATAATAGGGAAATAATTTCAAAAAAGTAAATAAATTAAAAACAAAAGTGTATACTAATAGAAATATAATCAGAAAACTTACGTTTAATATCAGTGACTGTCCTAATATAATTTTTAGTAGTGAGCACAAATTCATTATAAATAACCCACTCTGGTTTGTGATCCAAACAACTGCTTGGATGAAGTTGCACTACCTGATTATCCTTAATGGTTAGGTAATGGCCTGTTCTTTCTAAATGCGCTACCTATTTGGACGATAAAAATAAAATATATTAGTACAAATAAAAAAAACAATAAAGAGAAATTTTTTACAACGTCTTTTGCAAGACAATTTTAAATTACCTGCATAAAGAAACCATTAACAAGAGCTTTCCTGATGTTAATGTAATAATCCTTTGAATTGAAGTCCGTTGAAGTGCGTTTTAATACAAATCTATCCATTATCCTGCTCAATTGTTGTCTTACATTGTCTCCGCTCTTCAATGATCGATAATTTACATAATTATCGTAACACCATTGAACATCATCCATATCTATAAACATTAAGAAATTGTTACAACATACTATAAAACTATTAAACCGTTTCATGATAAACAAATAAATAAACAAGTAAATACTTACGTTGTTTAAAGGAATGATACACATTAAGTAGCGTCAAGTGATCACCATCAATATGTGCAAATTTCATTTTTGCATCATCCGCGGCCTTTTTTGATTCGTTCGGTCTCACAAAACACTGTGGGACTAATACCATGTCAATCATCAATATACTACTACCATGTTATCTTACCACGATTTTAACTCTATTATTTTTATCCATTATTTTATAATTATAATTAAATTTTTATAATTATATTATTGATCATTTATAAGATCGACGCCTTAAAAAAATAAATAAAAAAAATGTTAATGTACACGATATCAACGCGTACAGCAAATCCCAATACATTACCTGAAAGCATAGCAGTGATGCTGAGTATTTCATTGCTACAATTATGATTGCAAGATGCTATAAGCATTTTCGCCAATTGGGGATCCAATGGAAATTCTGCCATGACTGCGCCAAGATCCGTCAAATTTCCGTCATCATCGAGAGCTGCCAAATAATTCAAAAGTTCCAAAGCTCTCATGAGAGTTTCAGGCGCAGGTGGATCCATAAAATCGAAGTGTACCTGTGTTGTAGTACGTAAAATTAATTCTTTTATATTACACAATTCAATCATTATTCTCATAATGTAATGGTAAACGCACCAGATCATCGATTCCAAGTTTCTTCAACTGCAATACGACACTTCCAAGATTGGAACGCAAAATTTCAGGATACGTATTATCCTGCATCTCATTTTTATACGCTTTTTCCGTATACAATCTGAAGCACTTTCCAGGTCGAGTTCTGCCAGCTCGACCAGCCCTTTGCTGTGCCGAAGCTTTACTAATAGGGGATACTAAAAGAGATTCGACACGAATTCTAGGGTTGTATACCTATCAACAAAAAATATTCAATAAATTTATATAATAATAAGAATTCTTAATAAGGATTTCATTGAAATACTATATTTACTTTTTGCTTGGCAAAACCAGGATCTATCACAAAGACAACCCCATCGATAGTCAATGATGTTTCCGCGATATTAGTCGAGACCACGACTTTACGACCGATAGCACCATTAGCTTTAGTGGGTGGAGCAGGCTCGAATATTCTCTGTTGAAGATTCGGTGGTAACGTCGAGTACAGCGGTATACACTTTAATTCACCAACATCGGGTCCCAAGTTGTCCATTTCTCTTTTAATTCTCTTGCAAGCTTCCTCGATTTCTTCTTGACCAGTCAAAAATAACAAGAGATCGCCGGGAATTTCTTCACACATTTGGATTTGAATGACAGTTCTAATAGCTGCTTCTAGATAATCCCTTTCCGGTTCTGGTGTATAAAATATCTCGACTGGATGTGTTCTACCAGGTACATTCATAAGTGGTGCATTGTCAAAGTACTGCTGAAACTTTCCAGCATCCAAAGTAGCACTCATAATCACAAGTTTTAGGTCCGGTCTCTGCTTGATCACTTCCTTCAAAACACCCATGAGCAAGTCAGTGGCTAATGTTCTTTCATGAGCTTCGTCAAGCAGTATCACTTGATACGCATCCAGCATTGGATCAGACATGCCTTCACGAAGCAACATACCATCAGTCATATACTTCAATACGGTTCTTGGTGAACTGCAATCTTCAAAACGGATGCTATATCCTACTTCTTGACCTTAGTGACAGGAATTTTATTAATTTATTACAATATTCAACAGTATTATATTTCTAATAATATAATTCATTAAAAATTAAAGAAACTTAAACATAAAACATTAAAAATTGTCCATAATAGCTATGTAAGCTTTTAATCATAATAGCAGATGCATTTTGTTTTTTGATTTTGTAATAGAATGAAAAATTACCTAAGGCAACATCCATTTCCTCTGAAACTCTCTGTGCTACACTCATAGCAGCCACTCTTCTTGGTTGTGTACAAGCAACTCCTTTACTTCCAATACTCCTTGAATATTCTACACACCATTGTGGTATCTGTGTAGTTTTGCCAGAACCTGTTTCTCCAACAAGAACAATACATTGATGCGTGGACAACAATCTCATAAAGTCAGTACGATATTCGAATACAGGCAAAGTAATTCTTTTCTTATAAAGTTCATAATATTTTGGCGTGTATGGCAGCATGGTATATTGATTAAACTGCACTTGGCTCTTTGTCGCCGTAGCGGCTGTGGTAGTCGCATTGCTGGATGTTGAACTGTCCCTGCAAGAAGAAATCATTAAGACATTTCTCATTCTGCTATATAAACAAAAACGTTCTTTATTTTTAACAAATGCACAAAATTGACTGCAAATATAAGTTGAGAACACATGTTTCTATATAAAATAAAATAAATTCGAGCAAAGATATTGTTAACGCAGACATATCGATAGACGAGCAAAATCAATAAAATTAGTTGATAAATGCATTCTCATCTCAATATATACACCGACAAAAGTGATTAGTTTAAAGTTTACTCTTTTGTGATTTTAAGTGCGAAACTAGTTAGTTGAGAACCGTTATGGAGCATAACGAAATCTCCTTGTCGCCGGAAGTAGAGAGTAAAATTTCGACAGCATTTGTCGAATACGGATGATATCTAAAGATTATGCGCATGAAAACCAAGACGCGAATCGCGTGCTACAAGAATTTATGTGCGCGATCGCATGTGGTAAATATTACACAGCCCGATAACGCCGCAATATCGCACATGGCAAGAAGAGCCATCGACGACTCGTCATTGCGACGCCTGAAATAGGAAAACATGCTGGTACACTCACGTGGCTTTTCGCTTGACGTAAGGGTCCACGACTTCGATTCTACGTTTCGACATCGTGTCCTTTTCACTTCACGCGCAGCCAAACAGAAGCCGAAACTGTTTACGAAACTTCGGACGAGGCGTCAATCAAAATGGCAAGCAAGCGCCAGCATTGGTGTCCGCGGCTTCCCGTCTTTGTGATAAGGGTAAACAACAGCAGATGGCATTGATAGTCGCTTGGCAGCGTTGGAGCGTTCACTTTTATGAATTGCACAAAATTGTCAAGTTTTGGGACTAAATCGACAATCCAAAAGTGAAAAAAAAAAAAGATCGTAAAAATGAACGACTTATTACAAATGAGAGAACATTTCTATAATAAAATAATTGAACTATTTTTTACAGTTACATCTTTTACAAAGAACTTTTTTCTTCTCTCTTTCTCTCTTTTTCTCTCATTTTAACACTTAATTATACATATATCTATTTCGTTTTAAATACAAAAAATGTAAATGTAGCCATGTAAAAAAATAGAAATGAACAATACAAATAAATATAATAGACTACGCCGATTTTTAATCCCAAGCGGACTTTTAACAGAATTTTAATAAAATTTGATAATCAAGAGGTTTCATATAAAAAAAGCATCATCTAAACAAATTTTTGCTAAGAATTGATTTTGAATAACAATCATATGAATATACACATTGAAAAAAATAATTAATGATTTTGATAAATAGAGAAAAGTTGACAATCATTTATTAAGCATAATGAAGATATCAAAATATATAATATGTACACATTAAATAAGTACATTTTTTACGATATACATTGCTTCATTGTCACATCCAAAAAGAAGCGTCGATCTATTGATGTCGATGCTGTTAATCGGTTTATGCATAGCAGCACACAATGAAGTCGCATTAACTTTCCCATTTGCGCTAATCGTTTGCTTCAACCAATGTGTATCTGTAGAATCTGATATTGCAAAACAGTTTGTTTGAATTAGCTCTTTACGTAATACTGCAGTCCTGTATAAACTTTTTATCCATCTGTAATTTAAAGCTACTTACCAAGTTTCAGTTTTGAACTTTGTGCATTATTCCAATGCCATAATTCTCCACTGACAGAACAAGTAAAGATATTGTCTGGTCTGTCTTGATGGAAAAGTATTTCACTGATGGCTTTAGTATGTGCATTGAGTTGCAACACTGGATAAGTGTTTTCTCTCAAGTCCCATGCAGTTAAACTGCCATCACCTCCACCAGCAACTACAATATGTCTTTGTGTGGGATGATGCGTAACACTTGTAGCTGCTGTCTGTAAAAAAATATTTTTATTACTTTGTAAGATGTTGTCTCAAAAAATTTTTTACAGCTTTTGTAGCTTACTTTAACTTGATCAGAGAGCATAAAAGTTGTATCAGGCACATCTCGATTGCTTCTCAAATCCCAAATTTTCATATGTCCTCTTGAATTTCCAGTAAGCACTTCGTTATGTTTTAAAAAATCAACGCAATATATGGAGCAGCTATCAGCATCTTTTGTAAAAATTACAAGAAAATATGATAAAGTATTCTTTCTAAGTATGATAACTATATTATACATTAGCCAAAATGTTTCTATTTAGTATAGCATTTACCAATAACTCTAACTGGTTTTTTCTCTGCAGCTGTAAGAAGATTAAGTTTTCCATCTTCTCCCGCAGAAGCTATATCTTGTTCAAAAGTAGACAATGCAGTACAAGAGGCATAATCTGTTGTCCTATAAAAATATATAACTAAAAATATAATGATTTTTACGATTGTCTTTAAAGTTGTATAATCAGCCAAATTTACTCACTTAAAATTATGTATAAATTCCCATGCCATATGTTCTTTGAATTCAGCACACTCTTCCTCAATTTGCAATAATCTTACTGAACCTAAAGATGATGAAACCACGAAGAAATCTTTGCTAATAAACTAAAAATTTGTATTCCATTAACTCCCGATGCATAAGATAAATTATTGGTTATATCATGATAGAATAATATATCACCTTCAATTCAGTAACATCACCAAGGAATGTATATGATGACAAGACTACAGGAGATGGTTCTTCATCATAATTTGTTCTAAATGTCCAATGCGTAATTTTATTTACCTGTATAAAAAAAATTTAAGAATTAAAATTACTCAAAAATATTTTTATTATAGATTCTTTATTTTTATTATAACACAGCATAAAAAATATAGACGATTCGTAACTATTTAAAAATATTTTTTTTTTATTAAAAAAAAAATTAACAGAAATTGTTTGAAAAAGTGCAAAACAATAAAATTTCAATTATCAATACAGTAATTCTCTCATAAATAAATATTTGTATTGTATATGATAAAAGTTTGAATCTAGGTTAAGTATGTTCGAGTCTCACCGGGTTATCCCAACTGCCAGTTAAGAAATTCCTTGCTTCTGTGAAATCACCATGTTGCCACCTTATTTTGGAAATTTTTTCGGATACAAATGTTCCTTGTACGTTTTCGCCCATCCTTAAATAAATTCAATGAACAGTTCAAAGTAAAGTCGAACGATACATACAATCATATACAGAGCATCAGCTGATTGCGAATTGCCCGCTCGAATATCAAAAGTGCCGCCATCAACGAGATACTATCAACAGCAAAGCACAGGTATAATTGAAGAACACTGCATTATCAATTGTCGTAATTAAAGAGTACTATGCGTTATTAAGCGGAGAATCTAACCTGAAATAAATTGTAGCTGCGTAAAGGCCATTATACGTAAAAAAGTTTTAAAAAAGTTTTTTTTTCCTGTAATCGTAAAGCCCGTATCAGAATTGAAGATTGAAGATTACAGATTGAAATTTGACCAATTGAAATAAAAGAAGCTAAAAGTTCTTTGTTCTGATTGGTCAAATTTAAATCTTTAATCTTCAATCTCTATCTTCAATGTGTAGTCTGATACCGGCTTAAGGCGTAAACAAATCGACCAATGAGCAGTAATGCGGGTGACTCGCATTATTCATATAAGGTCTGTTCTTTATAGCTGAACTGACTGCTCAGAGTTTATCTTTTTCCCTCCACGTTAAAAGGTGAAAGATAAACTCTGAACTAGTGCATCCAGTTCAGCTATAAAGAACAGACCTAAGGTTTGTTCCTTTATAAGCTTGAACTGGCTAGACACTAGTTCAGAGTTTATCTTTACTCTTTTCAATGTTGAAGAGAAAAAGATAAACTCTGAACTAATGCAGCCAGTTCAGCTATAAAGAACAGACCTCTATATTATTACTATGAATAAACCAATCATGTGTTTAATACAAATTTGTATTCGATACACGATTGGTCAATTTTTTAAGCATAACGTTTATGTAAATCACATCTACATACATTTTTCGTGTTTTATGATTAAAAGCCCGGGCTCCGTAAAGAGAGAGAGAGAGAGAGAGAGAGAGAGAGAGAGAGAGTTAGGTCACTGAAATCAAATTTTCTTGTAATAGTGTCCGTCAAACAGTTTTTCAACGATTTTTATTGAAATGTCTCACCATAGTCTGAAATCTACGAGCCATGGATACTGCGAAGCTATCTTCTCAACTTCGCCGAGAAATTCAAACAAAGAAAATACTATTCCCGCGATAAAAGCGTAAGCGCTTCATTGTTGACGTTTAATCTGGCAACCGTTGTGTTTTGCGTACACATTGCTTAACGGTTAAAAATTATTATTTTTTGTTCATATAAGAATTGTCGTAGGTTATATTGTTACAGAGTGTTTAATAAAAATAAATATTGTATTTTGTTAAATAAAAGTTTAAATATATGTTATTTTTAAATATAGATTTTGTTTTAGAGATTAATTTTATTAGATATTTTTACTTTTTGTATTTTATAATGGTTTCTATTATTAAATTAATACTTTCCAAAATAACGTAATTTGTTTTATGTTATAGAAAGAAAAATTTGCACCCTTCTTTCATATCTAATGAGCCATCTATCCCATCAAATAAAAGTCAAAGTGCAAATAAGAAGATACAGAGTTTTACACAGAGGACACCATCAAAACGTGAAGTAATAGACACATTAGGATCTTCAAATAAGTCATCCAATGTGGAGCTATCATGTTTTAAATCTGCAAATCCTGTAAAGCAGGAAAATCCAGTCTGTAATAATATTACATCGAATGAAAAATTGAAGACTCCTATCAAAACAAAATTTATAAACAGTTTATCCAGTGATAAGACTGTCATGCAATTTGGGACACCAAAGCATTCAAGGATAGCAAACACACCTAGTGTCAATTCAAAATATAATATTTTATCTACCACAAGAACACCATTGAAACGTTATTTTAGTGATCATGCTTTACCACAAAGCACTCCTGATTGTTTCAATACAGTTCACTTAGAAACCCCGTCTCACAAAATTGATGATATAGTAGTTGCAGAGCAAACAATATATGAAGGTGAAAGCAGTAATCTCACTGTTGGTATTCGCATTAGACCTTTGAATTCCAAGTAAGTAAAATTTTCTTGTAATTGTAATTTATATATATATATACACACACATGTAAAATTTTATTAGAAAATTAGAATTTACTTATATTAAAATTTTTTATGATAAAATTATTTTACAATAAATTTTTGTCTAATTGTATTTTATTATACTAATATACAACAAATATCGTATTACTTATGATATTTGAACATATTTTCAGAGAATCGAATGATTCAAAAGTTACAACAGTTGTGCAAGGAAGTGGCCAAAATGTTACAGTGGAATGTGAATCTGCACATCACACTTTTACATATGATCATTGCTTTGTTTCTTACAATGATCCACTCACACCTGGCCATGCCAATCAGGAAGTCGTCTTCCGTAATATGGTACTGCCTTTAGTACAAAATGCATTCGAGGGTTATAACGTCTGTTTATTTGCATATGGACAGACAGGATCTGGAAAGAGTTATAGCTTAATGGGCACAGAATCCACGCAGTTAACCGCGATACCGTTCGAAGAAAATGTTGGTATTATACCAAGATTTTGCCAGGAGATATTTACACAAGCGTGTGACAATCCACAAATTGAGACAACTGTAGAAATCAGCTATTTCGAAATATACAATGAAAAAATTCATGATCTTTTGACGAGCACAAATAACGGGTCAAAAAAGGCTCCTCTCAAAGTAAGGGAGCATCCTGTCTTTGGTCCTTATGTTGTAGACTTGAGTCAGCATTGTGTACAAAATTACAAAGATTTACAGGTACATTCATGATTTCAAACTTGCAAAATACAATTACAATTATTTTAAGTATAAATTTATCTTTTTTTCAATGTAAATCTTTTAGGCTTGGCTTAAAGTAGGAAATTCACAGAGAGCCACAGCCGCAACTGGTATGAATGAGAAAAGTTCACGGTCTCACAGTATTTTTAGTATTGTATTAACTCAGACACATTTGGACAATCAGTTGGACTGCAAATCACTTGATGCCAATCGTCGCAGCAAAATTAATTTGATTGACTTAGCTGGTAGCGAGAGATTGAGTCAAACTTCTGCTACTGGTGACAGATTAAGGGTTTGTTTCCTTTCACCTGTGCTGTATATGCGTCAAATAATGAATAATGACAAATTCTAATATTTTTTTTTATCCTTTGTCCTATATAGGAAGGGGTTTCTATTAATAAATCTTTACTTACATTGGGGAAGGTAATTGCGTCACTTACGGAGAACACAAGTAATCGTAAACAGGGTTTCGTACCGTATCGTGAATCAGTATTAACATGGCTGCTGAAGGTAAGTACTATTTCATTCAAGTACTGTATGGTTTAGATTATTACATGTTGAATCAGAAATAGAAATGCTAAATTTATTATCTTAACATTCTCTTGAAAATTGAGGATTTAATAAGAAATAACACAAGATTTTAATTATATAAATGTAAATATAAATTTTTAAGATATTTTGATCTTTTAGTTTGTTGCAAAGTATTGCATGAATATTTTTTCAAGTACTTAATGATTCTTACAACAAAATTTCAATATAGTTTTGGAATAAGATAAATTTTTTTATTGGAATGAGAGGAAATTTGTACACACACACACACACACGCACATACACACACGCACACACAACACACACAAATAAGGAAGGAAAAATTTAAAAAGACTTGCATTATTATTTATTGTTTATAATTTTTATTTTCAAGCAATCAAAGTGATGTTTAAAATCACCAAGCTTGTGAAGTGAAAATATTTGTGACAATATCATGGTTATATGCAATAATACAGTAACTTAAATATAAACCTTATTAGATAAATATTATCTCACTACATGATAAGTAAAAGCATATCAATACCGGCATTCTCCATATTTTTAATCGTCTTTAAAAAAATTAGAATCTTATCTCTCAGAGCTAACAATAAGTACATTATGTAATGCTATGTTACAAGTGAAATGTTAATGACATTTATGTGAATTAACTTACCAACTACACTATTCGCTATTCTTATAACGCACAATCATGTACTCAGTCTTATGCAACAATTAATTTTGAAACTTCATTAAATTTTCAAATTTTGATTATATTAAATTTTGCACAATTTTAGCTGATCTTAGTTGTTCCAGACAAAATAGTTACAGATAAATCTAAAAATTGTTATTACATTGATATTTTATTTCTTTTGCCTTTTTCAATGGTATAATTCATGTAGATTCATCATAGATTCAAAATTATTAATTATTAAAACCCTTATCAATGGTTATGAAAATTTATCAAAGCCACAGTAAACAGTCTTTATAAAAATTGGATATGTCCATTATTATGTAATTTTAGACATTCTATTTTTTTTTATATGACACAATAAATACATATTTGTAAGAAGCTATTTACATTCACATTTATACACAAAGATATTTATTGAACAATTAGCGCGCAGCAAATATTGATAAAACCTAATTGAACGAGTAAAGTAATTTACTGAGTACATCTTGATATAAATTTTTCATATTTCTTAAATAGCTTTATTTGATATAGTTCAAATAAATTTTATGAGTATTTCAGTCGATCGAAAGATTTGTTGCAATTTTTTAACAATTTATGCACTTATGTCAATCATGATTTTTATAATAATGGCAATGATATACATTTTCGTTAAAAATGATATACTTCAGTATAAATCTTGAGAATCCATTCATATTTTCGTCTTTAAAGATGCAAATTTTATATATACCATTAAAAAATTGTTGAATATCTGTAAAGTATAAAACACAATAATGATAGAAATTTAGAAGTCTATCATTATTGTGTTGTTATATAGAAATACATTTTGTCAAAAATAATAATTCAATGTAAGATAAACATAAGAACGTAATATAATCGTTAAAATTAAAGTAACTTCCTTATGTACGCATATTTACGGTTGCAGATATTATGCTTATATGAAGCTTATATTACTGTTTACAATACCAAAGAATTACGATTTCTGTTTTTCTGTATTGCGTGATTTCGCAGATTTATTTTGACTTGGATCTGCAGTTTTTTGCTCGCCGTGTGTCGTATCGTTCTCCTCTTCTTCCTGAATTCCTTCATGGCAGGAATCGCTTCGTGATTTACTTCTTATATAAACAGCTAGATTCCTCCTTTTCATTTCTTTGCATAAATAACAATTTTCTTTAGACAGTTCTCGCGTGCTGCGTCGAGTTTCTGATTTTTCTAAAACAATAACGTGAAACAAATCGTTGAGTGCGGTTTATTTTAATATTTGAAATTAATATCCGAGATATACAAGAATTTCATAGTAATGATTTTTCGTAGTAATGTAATGCCCGTCATAATTTTAATTGCAATAATTTTTACTGGTTACTATAAAATGCATCAATTTATCTTTTCAAACGCTATAAAACAAATATTTATTAAATAATTATGGAAAAAACAGTCCATAATTCACAGATTTACATAAATATTTAAACGATAATTCTTAATTCTTAAAATTTATATTTTTTTGCTTTGAAGTAATACCAATTAATTCTCAAGACTCAAGTAGTCTGAGTACTGCAAGTCGATTAAAGGACAGTTTTTTATTCCTATTATAATTATCCTCACTACAGCTTTGTGAAATACTTAATACGCGTATGTATTTTGTAGCAATTGCAAAAATTTTCATCTTGATATGTGAAAAACTCGTAGGTCCAGAGACTATGTGCGTTTTACGTTATATAAAGTTTGCTAGTCAAACCGGTTTATTTATTCTTCGGTACACTGAGTGTGCTGCATGAATATTTACGGGATTTTTTTCATTTAATGTATCAACGACGCAATTTATAAATGATAAAAACTTGGTATTTTTCGAGAAAAACTAGTCTCAAATCTGCGATCGTTCACGCGAATGCGAATAATCGGGTTATTAACATTTTTCTTATTTGCAATGATTCGTGTAATATGCAGATATTTATGTTCGAATTTTGCCTAATACTGAGTTTATTGAGATATTTACAAATATGCTAATGAGAATTAATTGAATCTTGTGCAATAAATATTTGTGTTTTATATCTCCATCAATTATACATATACATTAATATGATAATAACGATTATCCGCAAATGTGTTTGCGACGGAAATTAAATTATACACATTTATCATTCAAAGCTAGTAAATCCTTAGTTCGTTAAGATAAAAAATAATAATAGTTTCACAAAGTTTACTCAAACATTCAAATAATCTAATCATGTTTGCCAACTTCATCGAGCGATTAATTTTTAATTGCTTAAATGATTTTTTTCCCCCACATTATTACAGCGATTCTCACATATTTATTCATGTATGAGTAGGTTTCAAGAATAATTGTACCTTTTTGTTAACTTTGGATATAAATATCATTTAAATCACAATAAAATATAAACCAACAATAGATTAAAGTACAAAGTTAAAAAGAAAGATTAAAAAAACGTATTTTTTTATATCTAGAAATGTGTAAACAAATGTGTAAGAGAGTCACTGTGTACAAAATGATACAGTGAAGTTGTAAATTTTGCGTTATTTAATTGTGGCACGTGTGCTTGTTACTGACTTTGAAAAGGCTTAATTAAATTACACATCCAATACTGGCGAATGAATAACTAATGAAGATTTTGACAAACATCGGGATTGTCGCGTTTAATTCGCTTTTTAATAACGATAAGTGTCATTAAAAAACATCATCTTGTATGTATGCCAACAGGAAATGTTACGACCGTCACGATATACGATCACATTCATATTAATTAAAAAATTCTACCGTGTAATCTTGCATGCGCTCACTTGTAGCGCCAGTTGATTATATATTTTTACTTTGAGTCATGGAAATCCGTCGTTCCACCTTTTGACCACTTAAAGATCCTGGACGTGTCGCGTATTATAGCTTCTGGAGCTTGTCGCAAATACAGTGACGAATCGCAATTATGTTTATCCAATTGTGATTGATATGCAATTTTGTTTATAAGCTGAGAAGAATGATTTAGTCGTCTGATCACGTCTAGAAGATACGTTTCAAAAAAACTTCTTGAAGAACTTGTTTTATCTAAAAGATGTTTTTGCATTTCAGAAATTTCCAGAAGTCAGCGAGTTTTTTACAATTGATAATCAAGGCCGAACTGAGTTATCGCGTTTTAAATTTAAAAATCGCTTTATGAATATTGATAGAGAGATGTTGTGAAGCTCGAAACGCGATTCGGGTCATATAGCACATGGCCGCCTAAAGAAGCCAGCTAAAAATAGACACGTGTGTACCGCAGAAACATAGCATACGCATAATGCTGAACGTTAGAACTGAAATCACGCAACTCGCAATTTGCTCGTACGCTATCTCAAAATTCCTTATTTTAGATCATTTTTAAAAAATTTTATTTTATTATTTATTAAAGAATACACATTTTTTTTCTTTCAAAAATTGATAAGATTTTACATAATTGGCATAAACAGTGCAATATGTACTGATGATATCTTCAATAACAAGATACTTATTATTTTTTGCAACGCAATCATTGATCTTTAATCGATGCATTTTTTCTGAGACAAATACATATTTCTTAGGCCATAATATCAATAAACACAATTTTATCTGTGATATATCGCAACTTATCTTAAAATGTGATAACATGGGGGGATTTCTTTTTATTTATTCGTGTTAAGAACACGGATCGCGGCGCGAGGTGTGGTAAACAGGCGCGTGGAAGTGCATTGGATTGCCAATGTAATGCTTCTTAAACAATGTAAAACAAAGATTGGATATAATTGTGAATTTCGAGATACGCGTTTCGTAAATAAGTGTTCCATTTACTGGCGCCGATTTATACAATTATGTAATATGTTATCTGGTTACGAAGACGCAAAACAGAAACTAATTTGCATGAGAAACACATTGCAACACCAATGTGTTTCTCGTGTGCTTCTTTGAGAACAAAACAATGTATCCTCTTTTTTCCGTTCGCGATCGTATAATTTACGGTGTCTCGATAATTACAGCTATAAATACCGTAAAACTGCAAACGTGATTAAAGTTGCGGTCGCAAACGCGATTAATTATGTATATGAATGTGATTGACAAAGTGCAGAAATGTACCGAGATTTGCGATAACATTACAGTGATACTTTTCCCGTGTATAATATATTTAGATCGCGGTGCAATGCAATATATCTGATGATATGTGATAATAGGAAGTCACTCGCACATTGATTATTTGCCTTTTTGCATACGAATGCGTTAGCGAACTATCGACGCAGTAATTATCTTGAACTTGTCCTCTGTAAGGAATACTTATAATTTACGCCATTGTCAGTATTTCTAATCGATTCGATATGCTAAATATGTAATCGTTTCCGATGACGCATTTCGAGCGCAGCAAGCATAATAAAAATAATAATATAAATATAAATATTCAAATATAGATATAGAATAAAATTATTGGAAACTTATAAACAAACTATTGGAAATATCTGGAAAACTTTAGATAAAAAGATCTAAATATCTTCATAAAGATTTTTTCTTTTATTAAACTAAAATATTTTATATAATTTGAAATAATATCTTTATAAAATATTTCTTTGAATTTACGTTGTGTTTTAATATTTTATTAAGATCATTATTTGAAAAATACTTTTCTTATTAATCAAGTTTCTGCTGTGTGCTTCGAAATGTACATTTTGCAAGCGCAAAATATCTTACAACGCAGGTTTTCACAGTACAACGAAAGCTATTATCCGCAAATTCTCGCTGTTAATTATAACACTTCATTATAGCACTTTGCGGATATCGACGGTAATAAAAAATAATTTTTTACGATTGCAATCGCAAGGTATTTTACTCTGTTATACTCTGCATAATTTTGTATATATTTAATATCTTATTTTTCCTGCGAAAATTTGTTTATTTCTTTACTTCACTTGATTGTGAAAAACGTGGAAAGAAAAGCTATCGTACATGTGCTCAAAAATCGTAAGATTGACTTTATGATTTTTATTTTTTCTGAAACTCACCAAAAAGGCGTGGCAATCTTTCTGCGATTAAATGTAAAAATTCTCAACAAAAAAATCACTTTTGCGACATTTTATTGTTTTTGCCGTTGATACGCGTTTATATGAATCACTGCCCCGCCCTCATCCGACGTAACAAACAAATTCTCCGTCAATATGTATGCTAATACAGACAAATATAACTTGCTGCGTAGCCGTACGTGCGATGCAGCAGAACTAACGATTATTATTTTTGCAATTTGCTCGTAGTTCGACGAATTTTCCGCAATTTTATCCGGACTTCCGATTACATTTATCACGGTTTCCTTCATTATTTTCTTTTTATATGCTTTATTCGCATGTTTTCTATACCTTTTAATTTGCTTATTCGAAATATCTCGGATATTTGAAATATTCATTTATTTTCATAAACAACTTGGAAAGCTGATTAAACCAAAGGAGTCTATCAAGTTTTATATGAAAAATATTTAAAAAAATGAGACGTTATGAATCATACAAGGCGTATTGTTTAAAGTAAATTCTTTAGTTATATGGATAGGCGAAAGGAAGCATGGTTAGTAGAAAGCACATGGCCAGATGTCACTTATAATGATGGTTTTCCACGAAGGGACACAAATCGACACAAGTATCATATCCCTGTCTTTGTTCGATATTCAATGAGCAACAGAGAGAATAATACTTTTGGATCAACTCGCGTCCCTTGCTGGAAAAAAAACCAACAATAATTTTTAAGTAACGAAGAAATATATTGATACGCGTACATTATCACGAATGTTATTTGAAATATTTATGTGTTCGGATATATATTTATGCTCTCTCTTTCAATAACTCAAACTAAAGAAAAATTTTTATACCTGAAAAATCGACTGTTATACAGTAGAATTTTCAAATATATTTCTCGAATAGTTTGACTCACAGAGAAGATTAATGGTTTATCGGAAAAATATATTTGAAAATTCTACTGTATAACGGTCGGTTTTCAAGTATAAGAATTTTTCTACTGAAGTACAAAAATCGTCCCATGCTGATAGCTATAAAATTGGAGATAAGATATGTTCCTTTGCAAAGACATTACAGTCTTATAATTGGCGATAATGACGACATGAGTTAATTAATAATTTTTTTTCTCCCTGAAAATAATAGTTTTTGTTTAGATATTCCTAAAAATTATTTCTTAAAAATGTTTCTTTTTTCTAAACTTTCAGTATTCATTATTTATTTTTCCGTGTTTATTTATATTTAAGCTTAAAAAAAAAGTAAATACAAATTTAAACAATGAACAAGCATGTGTTTAAAATACTTCTTTTATTTTCGTTATCTTATGCTTAAAAATGCATAAAAAAATTAGAAATGGAAATACTTCTTCGTTTATCAATTAACATTTATCGTAAGATTACAATTTAGCATATTTTATTGTCTAAATTTCACGTGCCGACTGCAAAATTGCGTTGAGTAAACGTTATCTGTATTTATCACAATTATCTGCACAAACATCTGCTGCGTTTCGGGAAATTATGCATGATTGCACTGTGATCTAATCCAGTTCCCAAGATATCAATCTAAAATTTCATTTATAGATTCTTTAACCAATACACTTAATTTTTCTTTAGCGAAAATTATAGAAAGAAATATAACAATTTTTAAAAACAATTTTTGTTAAATGTCAGGATAACACGTCACCTTAATGTAAGTCGACATTCTGTTAATTAAAAACTCCATACTTTCACATTCCTGTTAAGAAAAAAATTGATCTTGAACTGTAATTGATCCAAAGAAACATTTAGTGCGACCGCTCAAGAAAATACGTTTGCCACGTGGAATATGTAAGCATAATATACAACGAAGCGCTATATTATCATTCACTATTATCAACGTTATTAATTATTCGAATGCGTTCGCAGCTATGAGCTATTAAACTATGATTAAAGACCAAACAGATCGCTTGAATTTTTGCCATGTGAAAACGCAACGATTTCGCTCTTTCGACAAAACACTATCGAGCATCGTCGAGCAAATTGAAACAGCTCTGTATACTCACTGTTGCCGCACTTGAAGTAGTCCTGGTTCCACGGTTGCTCGTAGTCGCGATACTGCGGATTTCGCGAGTACCCATATGTGAACACTTCCGGTATGTAAACAAGATCCATGGCTTTTTTCGGGGACGATCAGTGAAAGAGACTATTGTTATTGAAGATTGTCAGTGCGGATTTGTTAGCAAATGATTTTTCCGTCAGTGGCTCGTTCACCGCAGCATCATTCTCTTTGCTCAGAGTACGTCAAGTTTTACCTTCTGTGCCCGAGCGTCGTGTCACCGTTTGTGCTCGATCGCAGAAACGCAGTTTCTTTTTCTTCTACCGCGGAGAAAAAGCGTTCGTTTCGACCTGTAGCCTACAACTTTTGCTTTATACTAACGAAGCATGAACGCCTAACGCACGTAATGTTTATCTGTCGGTCTTTCCCACTCCGCTTCACCGGTTCTC